TGCTTCGACTTTTATTTTTTTAGTCAAGAGGTAGAAAACGCTGGGACTTGGAATCTACTAGTTGTGGTTAAATGTCTGTTGACATTGTATAAGCATTCTTGTGATACTTTATTTCCTGATAAGGTGGGGATATTACAAAATTACCTGAATTGAATTTACTAAACATACCCGAGCAGTTATAAATCCAATTTCGTCATCTGAAAGTTCGTCCCTTGTTAGGCATCGGATTATTTTGCTTAAGTCATCTTGATTAAGATAGTCGTCTCCGTCAAAATCTGAAAATGTGTTGTCTGAAGAAAACGTTACAATAGTATCTCTGTTTCGAAGGAGTGGAAGATCATTAAGTACACCGAGGCAGGGTAAAGTGACGCATATTCGAAAGTCACGAAACAGTTTGTTCACTTGAAGCGAAAGCTTGAGTTTCAGTCTGGATTCTGACTGGTAGTTTTGTTCTTGAGAGCAGATGCGATGCTTTCAAGCTAAGTTAAAGGGAATTTAGCTGTTGTTTGTGGTGAAAAGTTGAACAGGAGACTAGAACTGTCTTGAATGAAGTGCAACTTGAGCGGGTACTGAAGTTCCGCATCTCTTGCTGGGGTTTTCCAGTCAAGCCAGCTTCATTAGGTTTCTGTAGAGTATCTCAAAAAAGAGCTGTTTTCTACGATCACTGGAGGTGGTCTCCTGTTAAGTTGTCTTGTTCTCTTTACTGGTTCAACTGTTAGAATTAAATGGGATTTCGCTCCGTGTAATACGCTAAAAGTGAATTCTGTCTTCTACCGTATGAAGTGATATTTCTTCAGAAAGCTGTGGCGGTGGTCATTGTTTAACAGTCAAGTTTTTTTATTTTCAAAAGTACTGACCCACTTGACACTGTCAGCCATTTTCAATTTTTACATCTGTACTGACTGTATAGGTTCTGGAGAACAGTATTTAATTGGCAGTAACCAAGGTATAGCAGAAGAATCCTACACTTAACCAGTTCAAGCGATGAAGTAAACGCATACTTAACACATTTAAAGCTGTTTGCCACCTGATACACCAAATCAGTCAAAATGAATTATCAGTCTGTGTTATGTCAAAGTGGACTTATTAGTGTAGCTTTTTCGTGAACTGTTGAAGTTGAAAAGAAGAACAGCATGTAAACGAAAAGTCTTTCCGTGCAAAAAACGAAATGGTTGTAGACAGGAGCTTAATATGTGAAATTGTACATTAACCGTGCACATTGAGACGATAGCGCTGAATATATGATTTCGAAAAAGTGAAATATAGTGAGCAAGAATAGGGATATTTGTAACTAACCATAGATTCGAAAAGCATATTTGAGCTTTAGCTGTAATGGTGCCATTTCACTAAAAACTGAAAACATGTCGAGGAAGTCATCAAAAGTTAGATTTCCACAACCGTCTTCGGAAAACACCTGACAGATTCTTCTGCGGAAAGGATTCTCCTAAACCACCTTTCTGTACTCCTTTGATCACTTTAATATGAAAGTAATTACTTGAAATTCATCTCGTGTTGACGGTTTTTTTTTATAATCGAGAAGTGAAAGCTAGACAGAAAAAATGGACAAAGTGAATGTTGAAGAAACAGATAATATCCGTGCGTGATATCTGATTAAAAAATTCTCAGACTCACTTTAAGTTCAGGCATCTTTTCTACTTCTTCAAAGCATAGTGTTATTATTGACGGCCGATTTCCCTGCATACTGATCGGCACCTTCACTGGATTCAAAGCGTAGAAACGCTTATATAACCGTAAAATGTCCTTTCGAGTAAAAAATGTGCAATCCTTAAAAATTAATAAAAGTCCTTGTCGCAGATGTGCCCATAATCATGAATAAGTGGTGTTTTTACTCTCCTTATTTGTTAATTCTTCCAAACCAACAACGAAAAACACTTTTTGGCTACACTGTTAGGTGTAGGCAGATCAGCTCTAGTTTTTTTTTTTCAACAAATGTTAATCAAAAATGTGAATGACAGGCGAAAAAACACAGATAACAAGGGCATATTTTGAGACTTATGTTTGTAGAACTCATCTTTTTCCTAAGAAGGATAAAAACAGGAAATCTAATTTACTAGATCAAAAACCGTGTTACTGGAAAAGTTCGGAAAAAAACAGGAGGGACAGCCGTCATAATTATTACATTGACAAAGTGTTGATAATGCAAATAAACATGAAAGTGAAGAGGGAGTAGAAAGCAAACGAGGTACCAATATCTTCTCAATCATACCTGGTATTCATCAAGCTGCTCTCTGGTGAATACGCTTCCTTTTGAAAACAGACTAAAATCCGTGGAACTGCTGCTATGATTACCCATTGGATACTCGTTTTGCTGATTTGCTCTAAGGAACAACAATTATGTATATGAAAGCTGGCGTTTATTCCGAACTACCTCATCGTGTTCATCTGAATTGGCCCTTGGCATTTGCTCATCGGTGGCCAATAGCAATCAATACAGCGCAAAACACTGGACTCTTAGCAATTGCCGTTGCTCTTCCAACCCGTCTAATAACCTTCTCCAAACTTCTTTGTTTGCATCGCAATCATACAAATACATAATTCCTTTATGAAGCAGCCGGCGATAATACCGTAAACTGACAACCTTCAGTGGTGCACTTTCAAACTCGCAAAAAATAAAAGGAATTTGTACTGTCACTGGGGGAATATCAAATGGTGGTTATGACAATCTTTCAAATGGCTAATAAGTGAAAAGTCGTTGAAATATAAGGTTTTCAGGACAACTCATTATCCTCCTCATTAAACTGTTTGAAGAAGCCAGCTGGTGCTTTAACTCACGAGAACGTTGGAAATTTTTATGGCTTTTCCCGTGCTGTTCTAACAGTCAGCAATAGTGGTACGAGAAATCAATGTTGGGGTATTGAATGAACGGACTCACAGATTTTGCTAGATATTTTACAGAGCGGTGCTGCGCCTACTAAACCCAAATGTAAGGAAGTCTATCAAAAAATATTATTATTTTGGTTTGGCACTATAAAAAAATTCTCAAACACTTAAATGCTATACACAACTTTAGTTCCCAAGAAACCGTCCTTTACGGTTTTTAAGGGACGGTTTCTTGGGTACAAAAGTTCAGGACTCTGTTTTGCTTTTCTCGCTAAATATTATATTTGAACCTTCAAGTGTGCTTATAAAAGAATCCTTTTTGTTTAACTGTCTTAGTTATTATTCGCTATAAATCGTTGAAGCCTTTTTCTCCAGTACTTAAGTCTGCGCAAATTACATCAGAAGACTGTTCTTATGACCAGTCAAACATTCGGATGTTTGAAAGCAACTACGAAATATACTGACGAAACCCCACGTACAGAATAAATACGAGCTGTAATTGTAAGTACTTTATTATATTACAACATGTGACTTGTACTCATTTGTGTATATGTTATGCCCCTGTAATTGGACCGTTTGTTGCGCGAAAACAGCGTCTGAGAATAACAAAGGTAGCCTTTACCTTTGTTGTCGACAATAATTTTATTCATATATACGGAAGAACGAGGAGGACACTAAGGCAAAGTTTCAATTTCCGTAGTAAATAAAATTTCTCTTTTTCTTTTGCCATACTCATCCTGATTTGACAAACTACACTGCCTCACAAACTCTTTGAAGTTCTGACTTTCATAATGACAAAATGTTAAAGTTGTAAGTACTTGCAAAACCTGCCGTTTTACTTTGGTTTGCCTACCCGTCCACGTCCGTCCTAGTTGATCCTTATGGCAGTACGGCGTTCAGCAGTAAAGAGAGGTCCAGATGCAGAAGTGGACTCAAAAAGTGAAGCTTTCTGGCCTATCAGAAGAAATTGCAGAAGCGTCATATCAAACTTCTGCTACCTTTATGCGGATACCGACCAGTACAGGAAACTGCGCTAGATATGGGTGAGGTGGATAGAACTTCTTGGAACTCCGCTACTAGACTACGGTACTTGAAGATCGCATTAAAAAAAATGGCGGTACGTGACCGGTAGGAAAGATTACGCATTGTTGCAGACACACTAAAATGAGGAAAATAAACTTTTTTTTGGACTTTGTTTCCCTGATAATTGACTGTTAGCGACCTCAAAATCTTCCACTTGATTGCTGGTTTTTAAAATTTCCTAAACGTTTTTTGCACACAATAAAAAATTTTAAAACTCCACTTTGTGTTGCCAGTCTAGGGCCAAAAGTGACATTATTCTTGGTTGCATCGCCTTATTTCTGTGCTCAGTGAACGTTTTATTACTTCTTTCCAAACTGTACATTTCGTGTTTTAGTGACCCCGTTTAAAAAAGTCTTGGTACTAACTATATGTTGGCAAAACCAGGTGGGTCATAGCATAGTCGCTGATAACTCTCGTTCGGCGAAGTTTGTTGCTGTGAAGTTGAAGGAATCGTGAGGTCCAGCTTTTATCTCCATTAACTTAGTAACATTTGATACAGCTAAAACCTTCATTTTTTGATCTTGGTATCGTCTCCTGCCTTTGCTGCTAGCTTTATATATGGACCATTCCATACCGAATCATACATCTTTGAACATCATCCTCTCAGATTTTTTTCATTTTTCGCTGATTAGTAGGGTCTGGGCCAACATAAAAAAAGCCGCAAAGAAAACTTGGAAAAATGAATTCCCCGCCAAGTTACACTCCCTAAAAGTTGCAAAATTTACCAGGTTGCCGCTTGACATGCCTATCTTTGAAGACTTGCAATTTGGCCCATTTTTAACGGGATTAAACAATTTTTGATCCGGCGTATTCAGTTTTAAAAAAATGTTAGATAATTTAATTCTGATAGAAGTGCACGAAGATA